GGCCACTGTGTTGTGTTAAGACACTTATCTAATGTGGAAGACTATGTTAACATCTCCACATGTTTTGGTGTTTCATGACATTGGGCCACTGTGTTGTGTTAAGACACTTATGTAATGTGGAAGACTATGTTAACATCTCGACATGTTTTGGTGTTTCATGACATTGGGCCACTGTGTTGTGTTAAGACACTTATGTAATGTGGAAGACTATGTTAACATCTCGACATGTTTTGGTGTTTCATGACATTGGGCCACTGTGTTGTGTTAAGATTCTTATCTAATGTGGAAGACTATGTTAACATCTCCACATGTTTTGGTGTTTCATGACATTGGGCCACTGTGTTGTGTTAAGACACTTATCTGATATGGTAGACTATGTTAACATCTCCACATGTTTTGGTGTTTCATGACATTGGGCCACTGTGTTGTGTTAAGACACTTATCTGATATGGTAGACTATGTTAACATCTCCACATGTTTTGGTGTTTCATGACATTGGGCCACTGTGTTGTGTTAAGATTCTTATCTAATGTGGAAGACTATGTTAACATCTCCACATGTTTTGGTGTTTCATGACATTGGGCCACTGTGTTGTGTTAAGACACTTATCTAATGTGGAAGACTATGTTAACATCTCGACATGTTTTGGTGTTTCATGACATTGGGCCACTGTGTTGTGTTAAGACACTTATCTAATGTGGAAGACTATGTTAACATCTCCACATGTTTTGGTGTTTCATGACATTGGGCCACTGTGTTGTGTTAAGACACTTATCTGATATGGTAGACTATGTTAACATCTCCACATGTTTTGGTGTTTCGTGACATTGGGCCACTGTGTTGTGTTAAGACACTTATCTAATGTGGAAGACTATGTTAACATCTCCACATGTTTTGGTGTTTCATGACATTGGGCCACTGTGTTGTGTTAAGACACTTATCTAATGTGGAAGACTATGTTAACATCTCCACATGTTTTGGTGTTTCATGACATTGGGCCACTGTGTTGTGTTAAGACACTTATCTAATGTGGAAGACTATGTTAACATCTCGACATGTTTTGGTGTTTCGTGACATTGGGCCACTGTGTTGTGTTAAGACACTTATCTAATGTGGAAGACTATGTTAACATCTCCACATGTTTTGGTGTTTCATGACATTGGGCCACTGTGTTGTGTTAAGACACTTATGTAATGTGGAAGACTATGTTAACATCTCGACATGTTTTGGTGTTTCATGACATTGGGCCACTGTGTTGTGTTAAGATTCTTATCTAATGTGGAAGACTATGTTAACATCTCCACATGTTTTGGTGTTTCATGACATTGGGCCACTGTGTTGTGTTAAGACACTTATCTAATGTGGTAGACTATGTTAACATCTCCACATGTTTTGGTGTTTCATGACATTGGGCCACTGTGTTGTGTTAAGACACTTATCTGATGTGGTAGACTATGTTAACATCTCCACATGTTTTGGTGTTTCATGACATTGGGCCACTGTGTTGTGTTAAGACACTTATCTGATGTGGTAGACTATGTTAACATTTCCACATGTTTTAGTGTTTCATGACATTGGGCCACTGTGCTGTGTTAAGACACTTATCTGATGTGCGAGACTATGTTAACATCTCCACATGTTTTGGTGTTTCATGACGTTGGGCCACTGTCTTGTGTTAAGATTCTTATCTAATGTGGAAGACTATGTTAACATCTCGACATGTTTTGGTGTTTCATGACATTGGGCCACTGTGTTGTGTTAAGACACTTATCTGATGTGGAAGACTATGTTAACATCTCCACATGTTTTAGTGTTTCATGACATTGGGCCACTGTGTTGTGTTAAGACACTTATCTGATATGGTAGACTATGTTAACATCTCCACATGTTTTGGTGTTTCATGACATTGGGCCACTGTGTTGTGTTAAGACTCTTATCTGATGTGGAAGACTATGTTAACATCTCCACATGTTTTAGTGTTTCATGACATTGGGCCACTGTGTTGTGTTAAGACACTTATCTGATGTGGTAGACTATGTTAACATCTCCACATGTTTTGGTGTTTCATGACATTGGGCCACTGTGTTGTGTTAAGACACTTATCTAATGTGGAAGACTATGTTAACATCTCCACATGTTTTGGTGTTTCATGACGTTGGGCCACTGTCTTGTGTTAAGACACTTATCTAATGTGGTAGACTATGTTAACATCTCCACATGTTTTGGTGTTTCATGACATTGGGCCACTGTGTTGTGTTAAGACACTTATCTGATGTGGTAGACTATGTTTACATCTCCACATGTTTTGGTGTTTCATGACGTTGGGCCACTGTCTTGTGTTAAGATTCTTATCTAATGTGGAAGACTATGTTAACATCTCGACATGTTTTGGTGTTTCATGACATTGGGCCACTGTGTTGTGTTAAGACACTTATCTGATGTGGTAGACTATGTTAACATCTCCACATGTTTTGGTGTTTCATGACGTTGGGCCACTGTCTTGTGTTAAAATTCTTATCTAATGTGGAAGACTATGTTAACATCTCGACATGTTTTGGTGTTTCATGACATTGGGCCACTGTGTTGTGTTAAGACACTTATCTGATGTGGAAGACTATGTTAACATCTCCACATGTTTTAGTGTTTCATGACATTGGGCCACTGTGTTGTGTTAAGACACTTATCTGATATGGTAGACTATGTTAACATCTCCACATGTTTTGGTGTTTCATGACATTGGGCCACTGTGTTGTGTTAAGACACTTATCTGATATGGTAGACTATGTTAACATCTCCACATGTTTTGGTGTTTCATGACATTGGGCCACTGTGTTGTGTTAAGACTCTTATCTAATGTGGTAGACTATGTTAACATCTCCACATGTTTTGGTGTTTCATGACATTGGGCCACTGTGTTGTGTTAAGACACTTATCTAATGTGGAAGACTATGTTAACATCTCCACATGTTTTGGTGTTTCATGACGTTGGGCCACTGTCTTGTGTTAAGATTCTTATCTAATGTGGAAGACTATGTTAACATCTCCACATGTTTTAGTGTTTCATGACATTGGGCCACTGTCTTGTGTTAAGATTCTTATCTAATGTGGAAGACTATGTTAACATCTCCACATGTTTTGGTGTTTCATGACATTGGGCCACTGTGTTGTGTTAAGACACTTATCTGATGTGGTAGACTATGTTAACATCTCCACATGTTTTGGTGTTTCATGACATTGGGCCACTGTGTTGTGTTAAGATTCTTATCTAATGTGGAAGACTATGTTAACATCTCCACATGTTTTAGTGTTTCATGACATTGGGCCACTGTGTTGTGTTAAGACACTTATCTGATGTGGTAGACTATGTTAACATCTCCACATGTTTTGGTGTTTCATGACATTGGGCCACTGTGTTGTGTTAAGACACTTATCTAATGTGGAAGACTATGTTAACATCTCCACATGTTTTGGTGTTTCATGACGTTGGGCCACTGTCTTGTGTTAAGATTCTTATCTAATGTGGAAGACTATGTTAACATCTCCACATGTTTTAGTGTTTCATGACATTGGGCCACTGTCTTGTGTTAAGATTCTTATCTAATGTGGAAGACTATGTTAACATCTCCACATGTTTTGGTGTTTCATGACATTGGGCCACTGTGTTGTGTTAAGACACTTATCTGATGTGGTAGACTATGTTAACATCTCCACATGTTTTGGTGTTTCATGACATTGGGCCACTGTCTTGTGTTAAGACACTTATCTGATGTGGTAGACTATGTTAACATCTCCACATGTTTTGGTGTTTCATGACATTGGGCCACTGTGTTGTGTTAAGACACTTATCTGATATGGTAGACTATGTTAACATCTCCACATGTTTTGGTGTTTCATGACATTGGGCCACTGTGTTGTGTTAAGACACTTATCTGATGTGGAAGACTATGTTAACATCTCCACATGTTTTGGTGTTTCATGACATTGGGCCACTGTGTTGTGTTAAGACACTTATCTGATGTGGTAGACTATGTTAACATCTCCACATGTTTTGGTGTTTCATGACATTGGGCCACTGTGTTGTGTTAAGACACTTATCTAATGTGGAAGACTATGTTAACATCTCCACATGTTTTGGTGTTTCATGACATTGGGCCACTGCTGTGTTAAGACACTTATCTGATGTGGTAGACTATGTTAACATCTCGACATGTTTTGGTGTTTCATGACGTTGGGCCACTGTGTTGTGTTAAGACACTTATCCAATGTGGAAGACTATGTTAACATCTCCACATGTTTTGGTGTTTCATGACATTTGGCTTCTGTGTTGTGTTAAGACACTTATCTAATGTGGAAGACTATGTTAACATCTCGACATGTTTTGGTGTTTCATGACGTTGGGCCACTGTCTTGTGTTAAGATTCTTATCTAATGTGGAAGACTATGTTAACATCTCGACATGTTTTGGTGTTTCATGACGTTGGGCCACTGTGTTGTGTTAAGACACTTATCCAATGTGGAAGACTATGTTAACATCTCGACATGTTTTGGTGTTTCATGACGTTGGGCCACTGTCTTGTGTTAAGATTCTTATCTAATGTGGAAGACTATGTTAACATCTCCACATGTTTTGGTGTTTCATGACATTTGGCCACTGTGTTGTGTTAAGACACTTATCTAATGTGGAAGACTATGTTAACATCTCGACATGTTTTGGTGTTTCATGACGTTGGGCCACTGTCTTGTGTTAAGATTCTTATCTAATGTGGAAGACTATGTTAACATCTCCACATGTTTTGGTGTTTCATGTAATTGAGCTACTGTCTTGTGTTAAGACAGTTATCTAATGTGGAAGACTATGTTAACATCTCTACATGTTTTGGTGTTTCATGTCATTGGGCCACTGTCTTACTGATGTATACCCCTTGTATTCATCTACACCATGTCCAATCTTTTTTTTCTAAACTGTATCTTACATATAAAAAGTATGATAAATACAAATGAACAGATAAAAAATCTGTTTAATGGACTTAAAAACAAGTCACCTGGTAAAATTTGTCCATATGAGACAAACATTTTTTTGTTACTGCTTCTAAACATTAAGTAATGATTACAAGTATAGCCATTCCGTTTCCCTGTTTGTTGTTAGTTTCATGGTAACCAAAAATTGTAAATACAGGAAAAAAAGAAACCTTAACATATAAAAGTAGAAAATCAACAAAATACATTTATACATATTAAAATTTCACAGAAACATGGTTTGTTCAAATCTCAAAATCAACATTTTAATTTGTTATATGATCAAACTACAGATTTTAATGTCAGATAAATTCATTACAAGAGACAATGTTTTATAAAGCAACTAACCAGAGATCAATTATTTTGCCAAACAAGAAACAATGACATTCTATTCCAAGATTTGAATTTACATAATAAATGTACATTTTTCAATCGTCCCATTATAAATGACAGAGAAAATCTATATACTAGTGAAAGCAAAATTGTTAACTTTTTATTTTCTATCTTAAGCATATGCGCAATAATCCTTTGAGTTTCCAGTCAATGGTTTCCAGTCAATGTAGACAGCCATCTTGTTGAAAAAAGTTTGATGGCATGCATTAAGACAACACAAATAAAATTTGTAACAATTCCTAGTCAATTTTTCCAGTCCCATTAGAGAAATCTGATATTGAAAATAAGATTAATTTATCACAAATCTATCTGCCAGTACTTCTAGATGTGTGTATGTTACAAAACCGATCTGTGCAAATTTCTCTGGATTGATTGAGACTGAGCTTGGAACTTTAAATGGAACAATCTCTGTTTGTATACATGGCAAAACAATTCCTAAATGTTTACTCATAGACAATTTTATTTTTAAATGCCAATATATGAAATGGTGACATATCTATCAGTCGTTTTCAGGTATGAAATGTTTAGATTTTAAATTTAATTGTACTTTAATACTAACAAAAAAGTTATCTAAAAATTGAAGAACACATTGTGTGTGTTTATAATTACACTGATAATGATGTCATAAATAAAACAACAAAACACCTAATGTAAGACATTGGAGACATTTCCGTATTTCAGTTTTTTTTTTTTTTTTATTAAATCAAGATATTTATCGTTCAGGAGCCAATGTCGTTACCTTTGTATTTTCACTTACATATATATATCTTATTACTTTAAATCAATTTGTGAACACGATATTAGAGAAATTTCTGCCTTGGTAATAAGATTCAAATTTATTTTCGTTATTTAATTTTGAAAAAAATGAGAAATATATAAAAAGATCCTTTCCCCTTTCACGGGTAACACCTGCCTCATTTCAATGTTAACATCATGTTACTTTTTTAAGTTGGACAACAAATAACAGTTGGATTTTTGTTAACAGTAAGCAACAGTATGTTAGGAAGTATCACAGTGACCTAACATCACAAATAAAATGTATCATATACTTTCAAATTAATGGTCATTTGCCTGGAACACAATAGTTTTAAAATCCCAAATTTACAACAGAGGAATATAACTGGAGTACTATATTCTACAAGGGTCATTTTACTTAAATACCACATTTACAACATTAGTATCCCTTGAAAAATTCTGCAATGTTTTGGAAGAATTGCTGCCATCAATGGATTTAACCCTCCACATTTTTGTCCTTGTACATTAGCCTTAAGGGTAGTTATAAAAGTTGGTACATTTCTGGCATACACTTGAGGTATATGAAAGACAAGATTTCTTATGATATCAGATCATTGTTGCACAGATTCAGGTTTTATATGGACCACATTTCCTGGCATTACATAGTCTCCAATCATAAACTGGTTACTAACAGGGAAACTTCCTGCATTACCACCACTCATCACACTCTGTAAGAGAGACAAAACACAAATTTGTTAATTCTAAGTACAAGCTGTATACATGCAAAATATCTTTAGTTATTTTTTTAATTTTTGTATGGCGAAAATACACAAGAATTGAATTAATTCTTTTGTATGGCGAGAATTGAACAATTATCCAATCTCCTCTATTATTTTTTTCAAATTACATAAATATGTTTGAACAACATAATAGTAAGGATAAAACTATATAAAATCAATCATAAATCATTGATATAATAAAGATCATTAAAAATGCATGGTGATCTCATTTGCAAGTATAAAGACTATCGAATAAACATCTGGGTTTGTAGAAAACAAGGAATAAATAGGTAACAGATTGTATAAAGGACATGGGTGCCCTATATCCGGTTCTTATAAAGTTAATGAACTACAGCTTGTACAACAGGGGAAAAAACCCAAAGTATTGTGATATAAAGTAACTATCTATAAATGCAATATTATGTCTTTTGGTTATCTGTGTTGTTGGGTTGCTGTTTTATTGTTTTATTCCATGTAAAAAAAATGTATGGAGGATTTAAAGAATTTTTTTTTAAGGTTTTTCCCATTCAGGAACACATTTGTCTAAAATTGATTTTAACAAGTGAAACTGCGAGCTCCTGCTCACTGATGATACCCCCGCCCAAATATTTCGGTAAACAGGAAGTTGTTGAGTGATGAATCTGAAAACGCATCACACAGTATAGATGACTTATATAAACCCTGAAACCAAATTTCAGAAATCCTTGAATTGTAGTTCCTGAGAAAGATGCGATGAAAATATTCATGGGACAGCAAACAGACTGACAGATGGACTGACGAATGGATGGACTGATGGACAGACAGAGGTAAAACAGTATACTCCACTTTTTTAAAGCGGGGGTATAATAAACTAGTGGTTTGATTGATTTGTTTGAAAGTATTAGGCTGTCATTTTGATTATGGTCCTAATAAGAGACATGTGTTAAAGGGAAATCTGACAAAAGAAGTCTGTATTTGACTCAATTTGATATTTCAAAATATTAACAAAGATATTAAAACTAAAATTTCTGGTTTCAGAAATAAATCAAAATTCTAAAAAGAAGGTTGAAAATATATGTGTACATAAGTGAAAATTCTGTGAAGAATGTTGAATACATATGACAATAAGTATTGTTTGTCATGCTTGTCACAAGATATCATTGTTTTTATTTTTAAGCCAAAACTTTTCTTAATTTAGTGGGTATAATAAGTAGTTTGACACATTTTTGACTTTCCAAAACTTTTTATTCATCAGAAAGACAATCATTGGAATAAGATTGTAAGAATATTTTCATGACATTGCACTTCCATAGTGCTAACATTCTGAAGCATTGGGCTGAAAATTTTCACTACTTCACAAGTTTGAAGAAATGCATTCAAACTGTTTTTTGCCTATTGATATTGTGAAATCGCATACACCTCTTGGATGAGCAAATCAACACTAATAACTGTTTTATATACAATACAGACAACATTTTTAATATATATTGTAATGACTAAAGATACCAAGGCAAAGAGTGCAAAGAGAAACACGCTCAATTAGCAAACCTGCAAAATGTGTGTGGTAAATATATAAACCAACTTGTTATTCATTCATTTTTTGTACATAAATTAGGCCGTTAGTATTCTCGTTTGAATTGTTTTACATTGTCATTTCGAGGCCTTTTATAGCTGACTGTGCGGTATGGGCTTTGCTCAATGTTGAAGACCGTACGGTGACCTATATTTGTTAATTTCTGTGTCATTTGGTCTCTTGTGGAGAGTTGTCTCATTGGCAATCATACCACATCTTCTTTTTTATATTGTCAATTCATTTCTATAGGTTTAAATTCTTTTAGAATATGATTAATAAAGTTTTGTTTTCTGGTAGTTTTTTAACAGGTAAAATAAGATGTACTATGAGCTTTGGCTCACTACTGATACCACCACTTTAGGTTTTTGTTAATAACAGGAAGTTGATGAGCTGAATTTGAATATGCATCATACAGTAAAGCATGCTCATGAGAAGCTCGATACCAAATTTCAGGAAGCTCTGATTGGTAGTGGAATGAAATGTGGCAATTGTGAAAATGGGATGGAAATGCCATACAAGGCCATTAGATGTAAGAAAATAGAAGTATTCTATAAACAGGAAGTTGATGAGCTATTGATGTGAAAATGCATCAAACAGTAAAGCATAGTCACATGAAGCTCGATAACAAATTTCATAAAGCTCTAAATTGTAGTTACTGAGCAAAATGTGAAGAAAATTTCATGGGACGGATGGACAGACAAATGTTAACCAGTTACCCCCATCCTTTGGAGCGTAGGTATAATGAAATGGAGACTAAAAGAATTCTATAGCTTAAGCACATTATGAAACAATATAAATATTAGTTCATTGGTATACAATTTTAATATAATACACATATTTTTTTTTATAGTTTTACAGAAATTAAAGTGATAAGTTTCCAATAAACCAGAGTTTTATAATTTAACCTTGCAACCATTCATAATAAAATGATCTGGGACTTATAAAATCACTTTAACTTATATAATCTTTCATTATGTTCTACTTGTAATTACTTCAAAGTATTAGAATCAGAAAAACCTGAAACACAATGGAAGCAATCTAGCTTCAATGGTTCACACATGCAAATCTATATATTTTAATAAGCATCATTTAATAAAACTATGTTAGTACTCATATAAATTTGGCATGGTCAATCCTTCCATCTAAAGAGAAATTATAATTTATTACTTCCCTTTAAATGAAATAAACTTATTGTTCCTCTTTCCAGTCATAATACTATTAGGATAATTGTACTTGTGGAAATTATATTACCTACAGTTACTTTTGTTTGTTGTTGCTAGCAATCTATTTTTCCCCAATGCTTAAAATAAATTAGATATTTTAACTTTTGGATAATGAAAATTATGATGGTTTGTATCTAATGCCTATTCACAAAATATCATAAGGTGAGCAGGAGTTTTTACTTTGTAAGTTTAAATTTCAATTCAATAAAGTATGACCATGTCAAAATTAAATGAAACTTGCAACACTAACAAAAAACATAAAAGTTCCAAAGTAAAAGTAATAAAAAAGTGCCAGAAAAAATGATTACATAAACACTGATTAGGGTTGACTACAAATTTCTGACCTGTGATTGTGTTTGTGCGAAGTTAACTGGGCTGATTCCTCCGCCCACGGATGTTCTGTTTGCATGAGCACTAACCAAATTAATAACACTGGGGATGCTACCTGGATTTATTGGTGCTGAGATATTTGCTGTAATGGTAAACAGTAATTTTTTACTGCAATGCACCATGATAACCTAACAATATTCTTTACTGCAGCCAAAAATAACAGTTTCATTTACTAAATAACACCATAGTCAAGCATCTGGTGTAAATTTCATTTAAAATAAGTCAAAAAACATTTCAAATAACGCATTCAGATTTTTTCTTCCTTTAATTTTACTCTCACAACAAACTTTCACAATCTGTCCATACATTTAGCATCAACCTTTTCTTGGGACTATATACACTATTTTTATAACAAATTGCTCTTTAAACAACAAATAAGAACAATTACCAGTTTCCATAACCTTTCATAAAACAATATTATCTTGACACAGGTTTTCATTTTTTTCTTACAACAATAAAATGTGATCTTACCATAAAAGGAATAGAAAACCGCCTTACCTGGAGTTCTATAAGTAATAAGTAAACTTACACACAGGGATGAGGTTTTGTTGTATAACTCCTTGCTGATTTAAGATTTGTACTGTCTGTTGGTCCTGCATACCATTCATTCCATTTAAAATTCCATTCATATAGTTTGTCTGATCTATACAAGAGAAATCAAAATTTATCATATATATTGACTAAACATGCTAATGTTCATGATGTTTAACCCAGCCACATTCTTTATGTGCCTGTCCCAAGTCAGGAGCCTGTAGTTCAGTGGTTGTCGTTGTTTCATGTCTGTCATATTTGTTTTTCGTAAATTGTTTTGTTAGTTTTCTCAATCGAATTGTTTCATATTTTTCCTGTCAGGGCCTTTTATAGCCGACCATACGGTATGGGTTTTTCTCATTGTTGAAGGCTGTACAGTTGCCTATAATTGCTTACATCCACTTCATTTGAACTTTGGTGGATAGTTGTCTCATTGGCAATCATACCACATCATCTTACTTTTATATAGATATGAATTGAAGGTTTTTTAGTCAGAAAAGAAATTTTAAAGTGCTTACTTAAAATAATTTATAAACAATATATTCTTTTTTGTATTCTTTTGGTGTCTTAATTGTGTAAAGTCTCATTAACCTAGACAACTTAGCCAAATGAGTCTTGTTAAAAGCCACTATGGAAGAATAGTATTTGCAAGAGATCTACTCAATATTAAGGTATAGGTAATCGGCAAAAAAATGCCCAAAGAAAAATCCTGATTGACAGCATGTTTTTCACTAGTTTTGTGCGACAGTAAAACAAATAATTGTTGTAAATTTAACTCTGATTAATAATACATAATAAAGTAATTACTAAGCATTGTTGAATTCCAGTAATTATCTGTAGGTGATGTGTTATTTGTTCCCGGAGGTGGTGATGGTTGTTGGCCTGTGTACCGGAAGAAGGGATTTTTGAGATCTAATGTATTTTGAGATTTAGATGAAGTTCCTGGAATATTCAATTCTATGTCTACATCATAACTTTGTCTGAAAAAGATAACAAATATTAAATTCATAAATGCCAATAAAATTTCCGGAAATCTGTTAACCTCATTATAACGTTTAAAGGAGAAGGTATGATACGGCCACTTTTTTTGGCCCATTGAATTTTGAAAATAAAAAAGTATTATAAATCTATCAATAAAAATCCCTCAGAGGTTCATTAGACATTAGTCTGTCAAATATAAGTAATTTTATTTGTGAATTGTGTATTACATATTTGCTTTAGGGTTTCAAAATTGCAAAATCTGCCATATTATGAAAACTTGCTATTAATATTTTGATATTAGACAAGACCTTACCAAAAAGAAATTTTGCTACAAGATGTCTTAAGATGTTTATGTGGGTAATATATCTTTTTAGGTAAGGCCTTGGCTCATCTAATTTTGTCAAAAACTATGCGTAAAAAGAGCTATTTAGCCCAAATTGGTCAATTTCAAGAGGTCACAGTAACATCACAACTGACATACCTGTTTTAAAGTATCAAGATTATATGATCCTTTTTATTTATCAATAAAACCAACATACTTTAGAAGGGATGGAAGAATTTTACTGTTGTTTTAATTTCAGGGCCAAATAAACTCTCTTATCATACCTTCTTTCTTTTAAAATACTATAAAAACTTATGAATTTATATAGATATTATTCCACATAACACACTTAACTCTACATTGGACATGTACCGATTATCATGTCTGCATATTGATATTGTAAAATATCAGCTGCGACTCATAATATCTAGCTTTTCTGTTGAGTGCAGCGAACGAGTTCAAAAAGGCTTCACATTGTGTCGAGCAGCTGATATTTTACAATATCAATATGAAGAAATTCTGATAATCGATTTATCGGATTGTATTTGTGTATTTTGCATCACAGAAACAACATAACCCTTATGCTAACCCTAACCCTAACAGTGTTTTTCTTTGTTTCAACAGCAAACCGGAAGATGATGTGATAAGATTGGGTCAAACTTATCAACATCGGTTCATTCAATATGACGTCTGTGATATGTCCAGGTCAAAGTTATTAAGGTCCTGGTCAACATCTTTGACATCACAAAGCCGTGATCCGCAATATTATGAAGAGCTGAGCAGAGCGATATAGACAGTGGGAACACCGATAAGGTATAATATATGCAATTCTTATATGTGGTGTATGAAATTTTTTTATGTCAAAAGTGTATGAAATAGATGTTTGAGGTATTAAAACAAGTTATGTCATCCTTTCTCAGTACAGCCTTTTCTGTATTCTACATCACTATATTATACTTATTATGGAGCCTATATCTGTGATGATTCATACATACACCAGTGACTATCTTGGTAAAATCTTCTCAATATAAGTAATTAGAAATGTTATACAATTTCTACCTACCTTGTATTGCACCTGAGAACACATTTTCCCATTAAAGTTTGTCCTTGTTTGACCAATATAGGGTTTTGTAACAAACACCGTACTTGATACCAGTGAGTTAATGTTTCAGTGGGTGATGTTGATAGCCAAACTGCTTCTCTGTAAAAATCAATACGGGTAAGTTTAAGTCTTTAGAAAGGTATTCAAATCAAAGTATTTTTCTGTAAACAGAGCAGATCTTATATCTTTCCCTAAGACGTCAAAATTTCAAGAAGAAACAGTTGAAAGCTATATTATATATTAAATATAATCCATCCTCTGCACATGAGAAATAACATTTAATAAGTGATAAATAGGCATGCTCTTTAGTGCATATAATTTTTTTCTTGACATTTTGACTTTTAAGAGAGTTCATCTACTCATTGGGAATAGGTGCAATTTAGACCTGGTTTGATTGTATTTAAAAATGGAACAATTCGCTATCTTTGAACAATTTGACAAAAGATACTTACGATGAGCCTAAGAATGCTACATCAAACCAGAAGGCTAAGCCATGTACCATGCCAGACTGTGTCATGGTAAATGTTAGAGGTATATCTATCACATGTAAGTCTTCTTCATTTGCTTGCTCGAAGTCTACTGTGTATTTATGGGACTTTGACATACAAATTCTGATGTCAAATGTATCCTGAAAATTAAAAAGTTATATATAGGAGTCTGAATATTTGATACCAAGCCAACTTATTTAATATTTTCATTACAGAATTTGGGGTTATTTTGGAAACTTTGTATGGCCTGTTCAAATTTCCCAAAGCATTTTTCCTGGAGTGTATCAATTTGACTTTTTTTGGAAATACTTTCGTATCTTCGTTTCTTGACAAATCTTGTGTTAAAGTCAGAGCAAATACAATCTTGTATCTTAGGATCGTAGCAAAGAAGGTTATTGTACATGACAATATTATTTCTTGGTAAACTGTACCTTTTTGTGAGAGAGAAAATGACGTTTGGATCACAAAATAGTTAGTTATTGTGACTGGTTTTATTACTGCCCTTCATCTGTTAATTTCCATTAAATATGATGGTACTGGCATGGGCACAGACTGGATAAGTATTTCCTTGAGTATACATATATCATGAATTTCTTGTGACATGAGCACAGACTTTGTGGAGTATATTATGAATCTAACTTACAACTATAGGTTGTTTAAAATATTCTTCCACTGCTGCACTCCTTAAACTTCCCAAGTCAATACCATGGAATGATTGCTGGCACCTGAAATATACCATTATACTACTAACATTTCACTACGATTAAATATATACAAAGGAATCAGCTTTCCTCTTTACTTTATTTCTATTTAAGGTATTACTGTAATGTCTTGTTTTCCATTCCTTTTTCTACTGTCAATCATCCATTCTCAGGTTAAGAAGTTTGAAGTAATTTCTGTTATCCTTTTAATCATGTTTATTTATTATTAAAGTAGATCTTAAACTTCGGCTACAGATTTTAAGACTGTCATTCCAGTGTCTCAAAAGCCATCTATCAAAATCTAACACTCAATGGTTTAATATCAACTGATTCAACTTACCAAAAATTAGCTTTAGAGAATTGTTCCATGTATAAAGCTTCATCTGTAAACGGTGCTATATGTAAATCACCCAGTGAAGGAAACATTTTTCCTAAAAAGATACAAAAACTTTTCTCTTACAAAGAAACAAGACTCTGTTCAGTATTAAACAAGCTACTAATAACCTTGTACTTATTTAATTGCTTTCACATTAATAATGTCTGAAACACTTTTTAAGTTAAATTTTAAAATTCTAAAAAATATTCTATGTCAGCATGAGATCATCAAAAACATGAAATGGTAACTTTTTTTTCCTAAAGCCTCCTTCTAATCTATACCATCTTGCCTAAAAAATATGGATACATTTAAAAAGAAGTACATGACCTTTTTCATACTTTCGGTAAGGAGCTACTTCATTACAGAATATACTTCTGAGCTTTTTGTTTATTATTTTTGGTAAAGTTACAATGACCTAACCATTCATCAAACATAAATGAGATAAAAACCACTAACCTCCCGGTTTCAACCATTTCTTGGCATGTAAGTAGCTTTCAAGCATACGTTCATTAAATAACATATAACCCATTGGTTCAGATATGATTGTGTCTATTTTTTCTGGTATTTCTATTTCTTCCACTTTTCCAGGTATAACAATTATTTTATCAGAAAGTTTGTTGTGTCTGACCAATTCCTACAAGGAGAGAACAAAATATACATGTTGACTGATAGCCGATTGGTTTCAATATAATAATGTCTTATTTTTTTCTGCTATTTTTTATTTCTTCCTTCAACATTTCCAGGTAAATCAACATTTTTTTCCAGAAAAATTGTGCTTAACCAATTCATACAAGGAAACATATAGATTCTACCACACAACTCTGTTGATAACGATATTTTTCCATTTAAGATATTCAATTTTTAAAATTCAAGGTTTACTAAGTATTTAAAAAAAAAATCCTACAATATGGTTATTATTTTATGATAACCTGATAGAATATGTAGAATTATTTAGTACAATACCTCACACTTTTCTGCCATACTACTGGCTTCGACAGCGTAAACTTTCCTGGCACCTGACTGTACAGCAAAAAAGGAAAGAATACCTGATCCAGCACCAACATCTAACACAACCTATAAGGAAAAAGTACATTTTTCAATTATCTATGTATTTTGGTAGCAAACTTTAAAATAAAATGCTCCGCTGGTTTCTGACACAGAATGAATGTGGTCTAAGAACTTAAAAATTTTTAATTTACCTATTCAAACCATATCATTATTATTTGCTTTTATATATAAATCAGAAATAACCAATTTAAAATGGAAAATTTTAAAGAAAAAAAAAGGAAAAACAGGAAAGCCTTCCCTTTGTGGTATGGTACCTTGCAGTACAATTTCAGAGAGATCCATACACTTGAACACAAGTTATTGTCTGGATACTAGAAAAATGCTTGTTTTTAGGCCCCTTTTTGGCCCCAAATTCCTAAATGTTTAGGGCAATTTACCCCAAACTCAAACCCAGCTTTCCCTTTGGGATATGGAACCTTGTAGTACAATTTCAGAAAGATCCATACACTTACACACAAGTTATTGTCCTGAAACTAGAAAAATGCTTGTTTTTGCCCCTTTTTGGCCCCTAATTCCTTAAATTTTGAGGCAATTCCCCCAAAATCAATCCCAGCCTTCCCTTTGTGGTATGGTACCTTGCAGTACAATTTCAGAGAGATCCATACACTTGAACACAAGTTATTGTCTGGAAACTAGAAAAATGCTTATTTTTGGCCCCTTTTTGGCCCCTTATTCCTAAACGTTTTAGGCAATTACCCCCAAACTCAATTCCAGCTTTTCCTTTGTGATATGGAACCTTGTAGTACAATTTCAGAAAGATCCATACACTTACACACAAGTTATTGTCATACTACTGGCTTCGACACTAGAAAAATGCTTGTTTTTTGCCCCTTTTTTGGCTCCTAATTCCTAAAATTTTGAGGCAACTACCCCGAAAAACAATCCCAATTTCTCTTTAAGATATGGAACCTTGTGGTACAATGTCAGAGAGATCCATACACTAACACACAAGTTATGTCTGGAAGATACAAAAATGCTTATTTTGGCCCCTTTTTGACCCCTAATTCCTCAACTGTTGGTACCAAAATCAATCCCAACCTTCCTTTTGTGGTATTGAACCTTATGGTAAAATTTCATAGAGATCCATTCACTTAAACTAAAGTTAGAGTGCGAAAAACCAATGTGTCTTCGGACGACGACGATGCCAACGTCATACCAATATACCACCTTTTTGCGGTCATATAAAAACTTTATTGATATGTTTAATATTTCATAGTTGCATTACTAAAATTATTCTACCCTATATTTTTCTACATAGAGGCAGAAAACAATTTTTATTTGGGGGGAAACTTAAAATTAAGTCTTGATACATAATATTCAAATTAAAACCTTTAACAAGGAATTGTACAACCTTATCACTGAGGGCTGGTCAAGAAAATGTACATTAGGGGTTTTGTTGGTATTTTTTCAAAAGCCCCACTTATTGTTACACTTACACTAAAATGTGTTCTTAATCCTACCATCTGCAGACACTTACATGCCTGTGCCTTCAAAGACCCAAGATTAACTTTTTTCTAGAAATAAACTGTTGACACAAAGATGTCTCACCAGAAAATTAAAAAAAAGACAAACTAATGGACAGCAACATTGCTAATAATTCATAGTCACTGGACCATGACCAAGGGGGCATGGCCTCGAAAAAGTCGTCAAACTGATATGCACTGATAGAATTGCAACGTTATAGAAAATATCATTGATCTATTACAAGTAGTTCCAATCAAACCGACTTTCAGCAGAAAGCTGCCAAAAAAAGCAACACCTATTTCTCGCTTTCTGCGACTTTCACTGCACGTGAGAGAAAAATCATGGACATAGTAATTTTAGATAAAATTTTATTTAGCCTTGCAAATTTAATTATATGAATTATTTTCAGATTTTGTTCTGAAGTGCCTCTGTTCTGAGATTTTTAAGCAAATAAGCTAATGATGAAAGTCTTAAATTTCAGGCTATGTTTATTTTACATATTATTCAAAAGTCATAATTGAACAAACCAAAACAATTAATAACCAAGATGACAGACTTTAGGAATCAGACAACAGAATAAAAGTAAATAACTTCAATACTCCTCCAAGAACACATGTTGAAATACAAGTATACAATAAAGCACTGTTCATGTTTTCTTCTGAGTAGCATAAACCAACCTTGTCATGAAAATCTATTAAATTGGCCAAAATAGCTCTCTGGTAGGTAGATGTTCGAATATAATCTTGCATCATGTTCTGTTGTTGTGATAAATATCCATAAAACTAAAATGGAAAATAATAACCTTTTCAATAAGTACATGTGTGTGTAATCTACAAGAAAAGTTGTCTTTTGAACTGAAAATATTATTTTCACTATAATAATTGATCTTGTTGTAATTAGTCACTACTGTGACACTTAGTACATACTGTGGTTTATAATTGTATAAAAGTGTATTGCTTCAAAACCCTATTCCATTTACTTCAACAAGCATCCTAACATAATCGCATGCAAGAATAATTATAATTGTTTCAAAGATTACATGACATTGCAATCAAACACAATCAAGCATGATACTTTAATAAACTACAAACCTGAAAGTATTGAACAGCAGATGCTTCTTCTGTTCTCTCTGTAAATACCGATTTTAATACACTCCTCATTTCTTTAAATCTAAACTGAAACTGTTTCATGGCTGAAATAAAAAAAAAGTAAGAATATTTGTTGCTACATAAAAAGAATAGATCTTAATAATTAAAATATGAATAATTTATTATGCATTACTCAGGGCTTCCAAAATGGTCGTATTGCCCGGACAAGTACAATAAATTATATTTCTTGTCTGGTTGTGCAGAGCATAAACAGGATCTTCAAACCTGGGTTTGTCATTTTACAATAATTCTGAATAAACTGCTTCGCTGAGCGCAGCTGGATACGCATGCACTCGCGCAGAGGTCCAACCCTGAACAGTTGGGGCAAAAATGGACACAATATTCAAGCTTGATACAGGTCTGAATTTGGATCATGTGGATTGTATTAAATATTTGACATATTATAGGTTTCTGAATAAATGTAGTCAAATAACTTGAAATTGGTTATATGAATTGAATTTATATTCAATTAAAGATTTCTTGCTGTTGTGCAATACACTGTGCTGTTGTGCAATACTTAGTAAATCTGTTGTCAGATTATAAACAAATAAAGTTCAATTAATTCTCAATGTCATATTAGAAATTTATGAAAATGTAAAGCGAGCTTACATCAATAAATATAAACAATTCACCAAAGTTTCATGAGAATTGCTGACAGCATTTTTGAGTTATTGTCCGAAAACTGGAAAAACTCCCCTTTTTTAATGAATAAAACCCCATAACTCAGAAATGTAAAATGTAAAATTTATAAAATTCTAAACAGAGCTTACATCAATAGATATAAATAATTCACCAAAGTTTCATACGAACTGCTGAAAGCATTTTTGATTTTTTGTCCGAAAACTGGAAAATCCCCCTTTTTTCATGAATAAAACCCTGTAACTCGGAATCGTAAAATCTAAAATATATAAAAATCGAAAGAGTGCTCATGTCAATAGATATAAACAATTCACCACAATTTCTTGCAAGTTGGTGAAAGCATTCTTGAGTTATTGACCGAAAACTGGAAAATTCCCCCTTTTTAATGAATAAAACCCCATAGCTCAGAAACGTAAAATCTAAAATTTATAAAAAACGAAAGGGAGCTCACGTCAATAGATATAAACAATTCACCAAAGTTTTATGCAAATTGGGTAAAGCGTTTTTGAATTAATGTCCGACATGTTGACAACGGACGAACAGACAGACGGACGGAAAGAGGTATACCATATAACATCCCGTAAATGGGCGTATAAAAAAAAAAATGAAGTGTATGCAATTTTATTTTACCTGACCTTTTGTCTTATAACAGTTACACATTTCAGGTCATAAAAGTGACATAAATAAGTAATATAAAAACAATCCCTACTTTAATACACCCTCATTATAATCAAGGTTAATTAGTTGTCTGAAAGCCTAAATTTACCAGTTCAGGCGACAGGTAAACTATTTTGTACCAGACATCGATAGGTCTATTAAAAGTTATTTTAAAAAATTTACCTGGTTTACATGCATCTAAGTAATATAGTCAAAAAGATTAAATCTATCAGAAATATGTATTCAAATATGATTTGATGATAAATTTAACAAGCATTCTGTGAGTATTGCATGGCAATACATAGTTCCCTACCAGTTAAAAATTCATTGTACTGGAACAAAATGCTAACTTGTCATGGTGTAAACTATATACCAATTATCAAATCAATATCTTCAAGCATGACGAAAAAAAGTGAGGAAAACTGATTATTTGAGTGAATTTTCTAAGTCCAAGGACCATAACTCTGCACAAAATCATTATACCAGACCAAAGTTCGAACTTGATCTGTAACTTTACATGATAAAACTATATACCAGTTATCAAATCAATATCTTCAAGCATGACAAAAAAAGGTGCATACTGAATATTTGAGTGAATTTTTGATGTCCAAGGACCATAACTCTGCATAAAATCATCAGACCGGAACCAAATTTGAACTTGATCTGTAACTTGTCATGATAAAACAATACACCAAATATCATATCAATATCTTCAAGCACGAAGAAAAAAGTGTGGAAAACTGATTTGCTGGACTGACGGATGGACAGACGGACGGAGTGCAAACCTAAAGTCCCCTTCGACTTTGTCGGTAGGGGACTAAAAATGTAGTAATTAAGGCTTTAAGCAAAAATCGTCAGAACCATGTTGTGTGAACTATAGTACACGTGTGTGCAGGTGTGAAATTTAATTATGCATCACAATTCTTCAAAAATGCTATAAATATCATTGATACCTTTATTTCACGTTCATTTTAAGTATTTTCTTGAGGAAGTAATTTGGGATAACTACTGATACTCAATTGTACTTTATTACCATACACGGATTTTACCATTGTCAAATCAACATCTGGTATCAGTAAAACTGAGCTTTTTAAATAAGTAAGTTAAGATTTTGACAGTCTGATTTTGCATTAATAAAGAGTCTAAGGCAGATATTAGTACGATGAAGTTGCACTCTTCCAATAATGCAATATCAATGTAACAGTTTACCTCAGAACATTGAATTTATATGAAAAGTCTGAAGTTAAATATCAATTTTATGCTAATCATTGTTTTGATGCCCAAATGTTTACCATGATTGTTTTCTGTTACTAATTCAAAGGGATTGAAATTGGGATAAGAAAAAAATGTCTGGCTGGGTCAAATATTTTTTTTGGAAGCCCTGGCATTACTACTGGATACATTTAAAGTTTTTCTTCTTGACTGAAATTTTATGTTGAAAACCAATATATTTATAATTACTACTCAAGATAATTTCATAATTCAGTATCTATTAGATGAATCATACGGTATATGTCATAGGCAAGATGACAATAATTAAATAATCAAGTGAAAAAAACAAGAAGCCCAGCTCACACTCATATTTCCATTTTCTGTGAACCACGAAAACTAATTTGGCATATATCTTAAAAAGTTCACATCATAACAAACATGTGAACTTAGTTTCCAGCTGATGTAGACGAGGAACAAAATTAAACATGTTTCTTGCAATTGTTAATACCTAGTATCTGCGCACCGAAATTTAGTCATTTAAAAACATTAATACTTACCATGTATACTTGGAAATCTGACCAATGAACTTTTGTCTTCATTTGTAAAAATAAAGCCCTGTTTTCCATATCGAGAGTATTCTGTACTTGATGTTATTGTAATTAGATGAAATTTGTTCCCTCCTATAAAATAAAATTAAATGCAATAATAATGCACCAAAGGGAAAAAATAATGTAGCTAAAACAGACAAAAGATTGTTAACATCAGATAAAAACTTCCCTCTGCCAAATGTATAATACTTTCTGTTTCCTACCTCATTACCTACTTCCTCTGTCAAATGTATAATATTTTCTGTTTCCTACCTCATTACCTACTTCCTTTGTCAAATGTATGATACTTTCTATGTTTCCTACCTCACCACCTCCTTCCTCTGCCAAATGTATGATACTTTCTATGTTTCCTACCTCATCACCTACTTCCTCTGCCTGAATCTGAATCTGAATAAGTACGTTGCAGGACCAGGATATGGCATCAATAGCAATGGGAGAGAGGCGCTGGAGAATTAGTTTAAAGATGTGAGTGCAACTGAAGTTTTAAAGCTCTCAATTGTCTTGGCACACACAAGATTGTCTGGTAGTCTATTCCAATCGGAAATTGTTCTTACAAAGAATGACTGTTTATATTATTCGGTTTTGCTAGGTTGAATTTTGAAACTCCGGCTGTTGTTTTGTACAAATTTTATCTTCAATGTTTGTTGGTTTATAGTCACTAAATTGTTTGGATTTTATTTATCGTTTTGGTCTCTCCTCTGCCAAATGTATAATACTTTCTATGTTTCCTACCTCATCACCTACTTCCTCTGCCAAATGTATAATACTTTCTGTGTTTCCTACCTCATCACCTACTTCCTCTGCCAAATGTATAAATCTTTCTATGTTTCCTACCTCATCACCTACTTCCTCTGCCAAATGTATAATACTTTCTGTGTTTCCTACCTCATCAACTACTTCCTCTGCCAAATGTATAATACTTTCTATGTTTCCTACCTCATTATGATTACCTACTCTAACACATGTTATGAATATTTTGTTCTGTTAAAGTCCAGAACACTTCCCTATATACAATATTTTCAAAATAAAATTATTTTATCTACCTACATGTACCTACACTAACTTTTTGTCAGGAGGCAGAAAACAAGCATGTATTTTTGAGGCCTTTTCAGTCCAATTGTGAAAATGCGGCAGGCATCCTAAAAGCATTCATCATTGTCAATATTTTATTTTTAATATATGTTCAACATTTGCACCAAGACAAGCATTGCATTTTGCTATTCCTTAATTTCACCTATATCATGCAATTGGATCAATGGTTGTTTCATATTGCAAATTCTGAACTTCTGGTAAACTTGTTTATGCATCATTTCAGGACCAACACAGTTCTATGTCCGACAGAAAAATAAACAAAGATTTGCTGTAAAGATACATACTTTCATTTGAAAACACAATTTTTAGCGTCCACATTGAACAGAACGACTTGGCCCAGATTGATTTTGGGACAGATCGGTTCGGGGCCGTAACCGGATACCAAAGAACCCTGGCAGCAAACAAACCAGTCCCCTAAAATGAAGACCTTCCATTGGGTCAAGTAAATTATTAATATTGACAGGAAAATATGGAAAATCAAATATCAAAATAAATGCATTTATTGTAAGACGTCATAAAATCAACCCCCCTTTTTTACCAGTTTTAATCTAAAAATAACCGATCTGCTATATCATATGGCAATGGGTGAGGTCTTCTTCTTGAAAAGTTCCAAGTCTATGATTTAATTTAAAAGCACTATTTTAAGGTAAATGATTTATTATGCTTCGCTATTTTAACGAAAGGCAACAGATATGACATAGAATAATAGCATGATTTTTAAACAATGAAAAACTACTCATTATGAGAATATTGTTTATACGTTAAAATTTAGCATAGAAAATTTGTACCTTTAAACAATGTTAAGGTTACACAATCTGTTTGTCGTGACAGTTCAAGTTTGACGGGTTCATCTGTTAAATGTACAAATCTTTCGTCGTCCGAAAGGATGGACACTTGCACGTTGTCATAAGACGACGCCATCTTTTTCATTCAAACGGAGGCAAAACTTAAAGTTCATATCCCTAAAGTTCAATCACATTCGTATCCGAAAGTTTAAATTGACCTTACAATAAAATTACAAAATAGGCGAAAAGATTGTTGCACAATTGTTTTATTTGGACTAATTCTCATTTTTCATTAAAATTTGCTACAATATCGTAATTTTTCAAGTGTAAACAATCTTTCTGAAAACAGACTTTAGGTTTTAAAATGGTGGACCATGCTGGACATGTGTATTTGCCCGGTGAATTAATTTGCAATTTAAAGGAATCAGAGAAAACATCGAAAATTTTAGTTGGACCAGGCTTAAGACAAGAAGAAGAATCTATAATTGTTACGAAATGCGGCTTACTCCGCTTCAAAGAACCAAACTTTTATTGGATCGATTCTCATCTAAAACGGGTACATGCGGGTTACACTAATGACTGGACCGAATACAGGACATCTCGGCACACTACAAACTCGGGACATGTTAAACTCGGCATAGTACAAACTCGGTCTATACAAACTCGGCACATTACCAATACATAATCGGCACATAAATGAATATATTTATGGAAATGATTCATAAAAAGCAATTTTATATAATAATTACGATGAGAAAAAAATAACAATATTTTTTTAACCATAGGTGAGAAATTGAACATATTATAGGACAGAAAGTCATATGACAAAAAGTCACTAGTCAGTTCTGACATAAATAAGAAAACACTTAATATTAAAAAAAATGTGTTTTACTTTTATAAATAAAGCAACTTTTTAATTAAATTTTACTTAATAAATATCAATAATGATAAAAAAGTTGTTTATGCCTAAAATCTGATAAATGTTCATTTATCAAGGCTAATAAACCTAAACTGTTAAAATGGATACATGTTAATGTATTAATAAAAAGAAAACATTGCAAGATCTTTCTCTTATATATTCAAACAAATGTTAAAAAAATATTTGTGACTTTTTTTGTTCTTTGACTTTCTGTCCTACATTCTTTTTTTTCTGGTCATTGATATATGCTATGCATATTTAAGGTGATGCAGTCCTATCCAAAATTGTGGCACTCGTTTTTCCCTTATCTAGATCGTATGTCGTAAAACAAATGCACATATTAATGAAAACATTCAGTTACCAGGAGGATGATAACTTCCGGAGCACCTGAGATCACCCCTAGTTTTTGGTGGGGTTCGTGTTGCCTATTCTTTAGTTTTCTATGTTGTGTCATGTGTACTATTGTTTGTCTGTTTGTATTTTTCATTTTTAGCCATGGCGTTGTCGGTTCATTTTCGATTTACGAGTTTGACTGTCCCTCCGGTATCTTTCGTCCCTCTTCTATAACTGATAGATAGTAATAAAAAATGACGACAAATCATTGTGTAAAGGATTGAAAAAAGGTGGCCGTTTCTACAGATCTCTCGGGTGATATAGTTGTTAGTTTGATATTTTTGATCAAGAAAAAAATAACCAGAAACAACACTTCTTAATTGTAATCGGCAGCATTTCTGATAGACCAGAAAGGATTTTAAATCATCAGAACACTAGAAGAAACAACAGTCTTAACAACTTGTAAAGAAATTAGGGTGTATATGGAAAGATTAAATGTTCAAGATTTTAGGAGTTATCCATATTCGAATGGTTTCTTTCAAATAAATCATGTTCAGTGATTTAGTTCTATTATCACCATCGCAATAATAATTTCATCAAATATGATAGTTTTCAATAAGAACCTATCTATTCAATGGAGAGTTGTCTCATTGACAATCAAACCATATCTTCTTATATTTATTAATCAGACTTTTTTTTTTGGTTAGATTGCTGCCTTACTTGGCGTATACCATGCATCTCTTATTTTTATTGTGTCATCAGTGTATTTTAATTGGAGTAACATGGAGTAAAATTTCTCTGTAGTCCTTTTTTCAATGATTGATAAAAAGCAGCATAATCAACTGACCAGAACGTTTATTATCAATGAAGTATTTTCAATGAAGTAAATACATATAAACAGATTATGTACTAGATCTCTCTCTCTCTCTCTCTTTCTCTCTCTCTCTCTCTTCTCAATAGGAAAACACATTAAATAATTCAATAAATAAATCATATATCAACTAATGAACCATTCACAAAAAAAAACACACACACAATTCCTATAAATACCATACAGACACTAAATGAAAAGTTAACGACAAATACAAATGTCACTTCCTGCATTCTTTGTATTGGCAGCAGTGATCAGTCATCTGATGGACCGTACACTTTACTGCATTCCCTCAACAATTGTGTCACAGTTTTTTCGCCACTATCGTACTCTTCCCAGAACTGGTGGAGCCGGCCTTCCAAATCCTTGAAGCGGCGTCGCTGATGTCTGAGAACCTGTTCCTCAGATACCAATCTTAGAGTAAGATCCACGATCTCAGCTTCTCTCATTAACTCTGGTATAAGGACATAAAAGCTTACATTTGACTTTCCAGAATTTATGCGTGTGTGCCACCCTATAAACAACATAAATACATACATTAATATTTTTTAAGGTTTGTATATGGGGGTATAATAAAGTTAGCATGTAAGTTCCTACTGTAAAGATACCATTAAAGTTAAATTGTATTCAATAATAGCAGTTCGATTTTACCAGGCATAATTTTTGAATTTTAATTTAGACCAAGGGTTAATCATTTATACACCGTGGCTGCGTATTTCTATAAACCCCCCTGTGATTTAAACTAATATAAATCAAGAAATATGTACATCATACAGAAATTTAAATCTAATGTTTATTTATTTAATATTGGCGTTGTTAAGATTCACGTAAGAAAGATTGTTGAATAATATATAGACGTTTGGTTTATGAGTATTGCTCTTAGAGAACATAATATATGTATACCTTCAACATCATTATTTGTGCGAATGGAATGTTGGAAGATTGACCATGTTCTTGGACACCAATATCGACCTTCGAACCATGTTGAACTGATGTATACAACGAGCTCTTTTAATTCCTGGGAGTTTGCACGTTCTTTCAGTGTATTGAAAGCTGGTCTTATACCCGAGTGAGGCAAGAAAGGCAGAGCCATCAACGTACGGATGTATCTATATTCCACTCCTCTTGAGCTGTACGTTGTTTTCAGTCCCAAATCTTGAACTTTCCGCCAAATGGCTTGACCGAAATGGAAAGCACAACCTTTGATGCTTGCATTTGGAAAGATCTGTCGTATTGCTTTCCAAGCACCTGTTAAGAGAAAATGAAAGATTAAACCACTTACTAAGTCACTAGCAATTCTATGTATTGTTAATTTAAAGTTATTTCGATTTATTTTTCAATTTACCTTTTTCAAAGTCCAAGCAAAACCCTTCCACATGGAGTACACCAATCTTCTTCTTCAAACATTCAAGAACCTACATGTATATATAATAGGAGATTTAGATACAAATATATCAGGGGTACAAAGATACAACGAAAGATATACAAAACATTCTATATATGTAAAGTGTACATGTTTTTAATTTAACCTTCAACTTTCAAATTTAAAATGGTTAAACGTCACATTGACGCATCAGAAAAAATTGAAGTCGATAACAAAAAAAAATGACGATTATGAAACTTACAGGTTTGTAATCTTTTGTCTTCTTTCGAGACATGAGCACGAAGACCAGTGGAACCTGCTTCAAACTGTCTCCCTTTTTAATGAAGGCGTGCAATTTTTAATGTTTATCTAACTTTTTATAGAAAAAGAAAAAGAAAAAAATGAATTTCAGCGTAAAAATATTAAATACAAACACAAATATTTATTTATTTATTATGCACATTTATACCCCTAGGGGTTGGAGGAATATATAAACTATACAATACAAATATATACACAAACAATATATATGCAGAAATTATAACAGATTAAACATCATATATAAAGTAGTATATAACAGTATTATTCATGCAGGTTTTTTGTCTTCTCTCCTTTAAAAGTGCAAGTGATTTTTTTAATGAACGGAACAGTAAGCTGCATAATATCAAATGAAGATAGAAGTAATTGTACTAATCTATCTTTTTCAGACAATTTAAAGTATTATGGACATATTTTATCTATATCTTTTTCAAACTGATTACGTAAAGATTTATTAGTTTTACATTTTAAGAAAAAGAGGGTTTCATCTTCAACCTCATTTGTATCACAGTGTTTACATATTCTTTTTTCTCTTTTAACTCTTTTATACCTACATCTCTCTATTTTCAAGAAATTGTCACTTGCTCAATTTTACATAATGATTTTCTATTTTCAAAACTATTTTTAAAAGACGTTTTTGTCTATTGGCACAATAATATATCTGATACATTTTTATTGGACCGAGTTTGTAATATGCCGAGTTTGTAATGTGCCGAGTTTGCACTATGCCGAGTTGACATGTGCCGAGTTTGTAATGTGCCGAGATGTCTTGCTTCGACTGGACCGAATGACAGGACCGAATGACAGGACCAAATGAAAAATGCTAATAACTTTTTTATTTTTCATAGGATTAATTTCAAATTTAAAATATAATAAGATTTCATCATTTAATATATAAATTTATAAGAAAAAATTATATTTTTTTTCAAAAGCTTGCGAAAACGTGACCTGACCTACGATGACAATGACAGGACCAATATCGAGAATGACAGGACTAAATGAAAATGCTAATAACTTTTTTATTTCTCGAAGGATTTGTTACAAATTTGAAATTTAATTAGATTTCAACATTTAATACATAAATATAAGAAAAAAATAGAAAAAAAAATATCAAAGCTTGCGAAAATGTGACTAATCATTTGGTCGTGGTTTTTTCCTTCCTGACTTTTTGTCGTTCCTTTTCAAATTTCTCTTCGAAAGCATTCTAAGATTCATAATTTTCGGTTTATTCTCACTTTCATCACCTATGAATATTTTCGCTGCCATTATATGATAACACTGCGTAGTCGATGGACACTGACATGTTTCTTTCGGCAGAAAGGTTACAGCATATACAGTACCTTGGGTTCCCTTCACCATAAATGCTTTCTGCTGTTGCACAAATGTAACATTGCCATTTTCGACTGTTAGACGGGCTAGCGATTTTTGTGAAAGATTCGTATCCTTAGAAATCACCACATTCGGAACGTCTTCAGACGACACACTATGTTCAGAGTCGGGAACATTACTATGAATAGTCGGACATTGCTCAGTGGTAGCATCACTTTTAATATCCACACTTTGTTCTTCACTTTCGAATGGCACACTTTCAGATATATTTTCGGATTCTTCATGATCTTTTTTGACACATTCTCCTCTTAACGAATCTATTTCCGACATCACATGTTTCACTATATCATCGGGTTTAATAACACGTTTCGGTATGCAAATTTCGTCTTTCGGAATGAGTGCATGAATAAATTCTGGTCTCAAACGTTTATTTCCCACTCCTGCTAATCCTCTCTGAATTTCGGTAAAGTAGTAACACTGAAGGTAGTACATGGATAACACAAAGCAATCAACGGGAAGCTCCTTATACTTGTTCAGTCGTTTAATAACGGCATTCATACTCTCACACGGATTGTTAGTAACTCCAGAAAACGGATCATAAAGATTATCATACTTACTGATTATCCACTTTCCACAATGATATAATATATCCTTTTCAATTTTGTTGAAGTATGTAACAAACGGTTTGGACCACTTCACTATTAGCAACTGCTTTTTCTCCTTGAATTCTTCATCACTATCACAACGCAGTAATTCCCTAATATTAGATAGATAAAAGGCAATGTTTGTTTGATCGGCACCCATCTTCTGTAGGTTAAATTTGGCATCACCAATCAAATGGTTCCAACACATTATGATATCGCAGTTCGGGAAATTCTTTTCTATTGCATTTGATAATCCTGGTTCACGGTCAGTCACAAACGGTACACACTTCCTATATAACTTTGGAAACACTGATGACACAAAATCGAAAAATTTCGAATGAACCTTTTCTTTTTTCCTTCCATGTATGAGAAATGCTACTGGCATGATAGGGCGATCCTCAAATATGATATTACGGAACACAAGAGGAGACACATAAAAATCTCCGAGTTTAAATGTTGTATCGTAGAAAAATAGAAACGGTTGATCATCTTCAGTATTTACGTCCAGTAGCTGATTAACTATCGATATCATCTCCGGTAAAGCTATTATAGAAGTTAAGTCAGGGAACACGGTAATTTCTTGAATATAACCCTCCATGTGGTAAGCTAACAACATCAGATTGTAAATGTCATCTTTACTAATTCTCTTCTGTTCGTTCACTTTTCGCACGATATTTTCAACTTGTTTAACGTTTCTTGCGTTCATTACACCTTGTTGTACACCAGGAATATCACTATTTGAAATACTGTCTCTATACACATCCATAGCTGTTTTGCCACCTGTTTGCACAACTTTTTCTATTGCTTTCAACACTGAGGGAGCTGTACGAACATATTCCGGTTCATTATCTCTTTCTTTTCGGTTTCCATGAGTTAAAGGAGTATACACATTCTCGTCACCTTCATAATGCACTAGCACTAAATTCTTCTTGTCTTCGAAGTAAAATGCTGTTCTTCTGAATTCTAATGAACCAACTGGTCTGCTCCTCTTACCTGATTGTTGACTTATAGAACCTGGTTGTTTTATCTTAAAATATTTCTTTTCTAGCACAGCACTACCAATTGTCACTTTTTTTAACCCATATTGTATCCACGGATATTGGTCACACTTCCAATCATCGGAGTTTTCACATTTTATTAAATAGACCTCGTTGGCTTTCGGCTTTGCTGGTGGCATGTCTGAAATACAAGATGTTTCGAGATTACTCAAAATACTTACAATGTCATTGTGATAAAGCTGCTCTGTTACGGTGTAAAGTGTCACACCACCACCTACTAAAATTCGTGAAGGAGAGTTAGAAATAAAAGCATGTGAACTATTAGATTTATGATTTTGAAGCAAATCCTTAACAAAACAATAAATATTAATTAGTTTCACTTACAACGATCAGGACACCGTTGGTAGTCAACGTTGGTCAGGTCAAGTTTTTTTTATCCAAAATTATTTTATTATTCTCGTATATTTATGTTTAACATGGTGACATCTTATTATATTTTGAATTTGAGATAAATTCTTTGAGAAATAAAAAGGTTATTAGCATTTTCATTTGGTCCTGTCATCGCCGATGTTGGTCAGGTCATTGTCAACATTGGTCAGGTCACATTTTCGCAAGCTTAAATATTTTTTTTCTCATTTTTTTCTTATATTTATGTAAAACATGCTGAAATCTTATTATATTTCAAATTTGAGATAAATCCTTTGAGAAATAAAAAAGTAATTAGCATTTTTTTCCGGTCCTGTCATTGTCGAGGTTGGTCCTGTCATTATCAGCGTAGGTCAGGTCACGTTTTCGCAAGCTTTTGAAAAAAAAATATATTTTCTTTTTAAATTTATGTATTAAATGTTGAAATCTAATTAAATTTCAAATTTGAAACAAATCCTTCGAGAAATAAAAAAGTTATTAGCATTTTTTTCCGGTCCTGTCATTCTCGATATTGGTCCTGTCATTGTCATCGTAAGTCAGGTCACGTTTTCGCAAGCTTCTGAAAAAAAATATATTTTCTTTTTAAATTTATGTATTAAATGTTGAAATCTAATTAAATTTCAAATTTGAAACAAATCCTTCGAGAAATAAAAAAGTTATTAGCATTTTTATTTGGTCCTGTCATTCTCGATATTGGTCCTGTCATTGTCATCGTAAGTCAGGTCACGTTTTCGCAAGCTTCTGAAAAAAAATATAATTTTTTTTTTTAAATTTATATATTAAATGATGAAATCTTAATATATTTCAAATTTGAAATTAATCCTTTGAAAAATAAAAAAGTAATTAGCATTTTTCATTTGGTCCTGTCATTCGGTCCTGTCATTCGGTCCAGTCATTAGTGTAACCCGGTACATGCTTAACAAAGGGAGATAACTTCCATCTTTAAAAAATAAAAACAGAGGGAATCATCAAGTGTTATTTAAGCCAAATTAAGGGCATACGATACAGTTTCGATACCATGATGAATTTTTTACGCAAATTTGCATACAAGCTATTTTTCACCTAAGCAATTCAAATATGTAATAAAAAATATACCTTCATGTGCTACTTTAAGAGATAAAAGGGGTCGAAGTTTTACACATTTACTTAAACAGGTTGGGAACAAACCCTCTATATGGTGTTTATACCTTTATAGAGGGATAATCCTTCTATAGAGGGATAAAATGAACCCTCTATAGAGGGGTATTTTTGTTTAAACTGGATTTAAAGCAAAATTGGGCATATTGGCATTCTCTACTTATTATGACAGTAAACTGCAACATTTGATGCACCAATTGGTGAACTTAGTTTAATATGCACGTGCCCAGTTTACTGCTAAACTGACTGAATATACAATCTATTGTTCACCATGATTGTTAGCTGTGATGATCAGGTAAATTCTACTCAGTTATGCCTCACTGAACAGAATTTCTATTGTTAGATTTAACATAAAATTTAAAGGTCAACTGTCCCTTTTGTTGTTGATGAGGAGTTCAGATAGGTATACAATAGATTGCAAGTTCTGTCACTTTAGCAGAAAACTGGGCATCCCAATTTGTAGTAAAGTGCAATTATTGATGCATATAATGCTA